AGAAATTAAAACAAAGGGAAAAATACTGTGAAGAATCCTGTCCATACAAGTTATCCTATCACTTTAATGTTATGCCTGAATCCATGGGGTTTTACATAAAATTATGCTTCAGATTGTGCTATAGCCTTAGAGGACCAATAAGCACCATCCTTGGTTAGCACACGTTGTATGAATATAACAGTATGTGGCTGAAACACATTATGGGGTCATTAGTTCCTCTTAGTATTTCTCTTTTAATTCCAGTGTATAGATTATGAAGGATCTTTTCTATCAAAGAACTTTCTACTAGGGTGAGTATAAATGGCAAAATTATTTCTTGATATTAACTTTTTCAAGGATATCAATTCTTGTTCTTACAAATTATCTTTGCACTTTCCTGTGTCTATTCTTTAACCACTTACACAAATGAAGGCAAAGTTCATGCACACAAGTTATTAGAGACTAATTTTTCAAATATGCTTATTCATGAAGCATTTACTCATCAAGTTTCAGCCAAGTCTCTTAGACCTATAAACAAGAATGGGCATTACGTACAGCTATATGTTTTGTCATTTATCTCATCTCATGAATCAAAGCCCAGAAGTTATGAAATATTTCCAGCAAAACAATCACGCAAACATTTTGGCACTGAATTTCAAGCCAGACTAACTTCTAAGCATGGTAGAAATCCGTAATGAGTCATAAAAATCTTCTCTTGAACAGCAAGTTATTACAAAACGATCTGGAAGTTCTACAGAGAGCACTGGAATATATTTCTCAACTTCATAATGTGTATTTTTGTCTTTTAAGGTGAACAATTAAAGTTTCTTTTCTTATGCTGATGGCTTTTCCCCACCCAAGCACAACACAGTTATTGCGGATGAAATTGCCAGTCACACTTTGGATTTGACCTGCTTCATTTGAGCACAGCTAAAATCCAAAATACCTCAAAAAACACAGATTTATGAGTCAAGTCATGCAGAGCTGAGAGTGGTACTAATAGAGGGAGAAGTCCTTTTGTGTTCTCTATCAGCTCCTTACTCTGGAATGTGTGTTTCAAGCCCTACCTGTGAGTGTGGCTCAGGAGGCAGCCACCACATGCTCAGGCAAGCTGATGTCCAGGGTGGCAGTGGAGGTCTGCAGCCACATTCCTGAGGGAAACCTCTTCCACTGCAGGTAGACCCTGGCTGGGCACCAGCCTCGTGCAAGATGTGCAGAGGTTCCTCTCTATTCCCATTTTCCCACAGGTTCCAAGTGGGATTATCCAGCAATGTTTGTGGCCCAACTGTGACAGCGTGTGCCTGAAAAACACACCTGAGCCTGTCGTTGTGCACCTGAAATCAAGATGCATATTTGGCATGCTGGCCAGTGTCCTGAACCTTATTACTCTCTTGGAACAACCAGGACACAGATTTACACACCCAAATATGAAATCAGGCTCTCCAGGTAAGTCCATGAGCACGAGAACTTTGACCCTACCTATAACCAAAATCCCAAATGAAAGTTTATCCTGCAACTTGAATGAGAAGTCATGTTAAAATTTGTTCCAATATTTAAGGACATTTTTCTTCATGGTTAGTTTGACTGCTGTGCAGAAAGAGGCTGTGACAAGGATCCTGCTTTTCAGTGTGTTGTAAATATATATCCTTTCAGTGAACTAACAAGGAGTGGGAGGGAAAAATATTATCCCAACTTGACATGCTACCACACTGATAGAAATAAAATTGAGTTGAACTTGTGTAGATTCCACTAAGCTGCCATTTACAAGATAAAACTAACCCCACTTGTGGCTGGGTTATTTTAAGTCACAGAGCTCATTCTCTATAACGACAACAAAAAAGCAAAGAACAAAAAAACCACTGAAAAAATATAAATGTAAAAGATTTAAATAAACATAGTAGTGTCTGAAAATTTAAGGGACTTTTGTCAGCATGGTACCTGCTTGCCTACTTCTACACATCTAAATATCCTCTTCTGTCATTTATAAGCAATGACTTGTCTAGCTGAGTACTTGGGAAAGATAAAACAAATCCATTAATGGTGAGAAGTCAACACAACATAAATTAAAGCATGTCAAAACCCCATGTACACTCTCTCAGCTAAAGTGGCTGTAGATCAAATGAAGCCTTCATACCCAGATTAAGCACCTTAACCTATGCACATTGACATCATAAGTTTTCTTTACTTGACGGGTTGTTTTTTGTGCATCCACAAACAGACAATTGTACAGCTCACATGCAATAGGGAAAGCAAATCTTATGATTTATATCAAAGACTATTGAAGCCCCACACTGATACTCTTGATACTTTTAGTGACAAAATTCCCACTGATTTCAGTGGGGTCATGTCTTTTACCTCAATGTATTTGAGTTTATTTTAGCAGAAAGTAGTCTGAGGCACTGCCAGACTTTATTTACTATGTATTGCTCAGCATGAAAAGAAGGAAATAATCTGACCTAATTTATCTGCATGCCAGGATTGTCTTACATCAACAGTAAAAAAAAATATATATTCTGAAAGGATTCCCAGCCATAATTTTGGGTCTATTCTGCCTTTTTTCAGTATGACTTCTTAAAGACACAAGAGCTAGTGCTGGCTGGGCACCAAAAGCATATGAAATGCCTGTGTCAGCTGGGTGAATCCCAAAGGATTACGCTTTACCTAGGTATAGGTGAAGCTTCAATGTCTCTCTCACCCACTCTCAACCTGCTTTGAATTCTACTATTTGCTCCCTGTTGTGAAATTCAGGTTTTTTCTTTGGACCTGATCCAAAACTCATTAAAGCCAGTGTGAATTTAAATGAATGGACTTTGCCTCATGATTTTAATTAAAGCCTTTTAGAAGCCCAGCCCTCTGAATGTTTCACCCTTGCTGAAACACTCTTATCTTTCCTTCTTCTGCTATTAATGACACAATCCTACCCATCCCAGCACAGCCTGTTCAAAGACGACTTTTTCAATTACCATCAACTGCCATCTCTATGCTAATAATTCACTGATCTGCATCTCTCTAGACCTGTCTCTGTGTGCAAATTAAGGTCTTGGTCTGCCTCTTTAACATCCTCTGGTATTTTGCTATCACCTAAAACTAAGCAGAGTAAAAACATAATTCTAACCTTTCCTTCCAAGATTTCTCTTCCTCTAAGGAATATCACCATCCTATCTGCTTCAAACTTGATGCTAACTTTGGCTCATGTCAATCCCCAGATCTTCAGATGCTTGTTTTGCTAGACCTGGCCAGTCTAACATCTCTGAAATACGGAATCAATCCAAAGTGCCTTGAGTTCTCATCATCTTGACTTTCAGTTAATGCCACATTATTTTCTCAGGCCCAAAAGGGTACAGACTTATTCCATTTATATCTAGTAAGAATGCTACCATAAAGAACATATTTTTCCCTAGCCTTTTGCTTTGATTATGCCTTTTCCTTCTTGAATAACATATGAACTGGACTTTACTTTCCAAGCCCTTCACACACTCCTGTCAGTACTTCTGCATGAGCTCACATCTTAATTCCTTTATAAACTCTTCATCAAGGCTTTTTTGTTCTTTTGCTTTTGCATAATTGGAAAATGCCCACCACAGATATGCACAGAGGTGAGCACTGTTCAAACAGGACTTATTTTTCCTGAGGAAAAAAAACAAACCAATAGAGAGTGGTCAGGCTGCTTATCATTCCTATAAGTGTTTCATTGCTTCTTCTTACTCCCTGTTTGACAGTATCCACTTGCTGTCTCTTCTTGCATGTATGCATCTATGCTGTATCATAGATCTTTGGACAGTCTCTGCTTTTTACTTTTTCACTCATGCAATCCCCAAGCAAAAAGGTTGTTAGACACTGTGATAATATTGATCTGCAGGAATATTTGTTAAGATTTTGAAAATGTCAGAAAGCACATGATAGAAAAGAACATATTTTTGGTGTTTTAAATCATTGGCCCAATGTGTGAATGTGACTAATATTTAAAAATAAAACAAATGAAGGAATGTTTGTATAGCATGCAGGTGATGAGTCCCTGGTCCTTTAGGTACCCAGGTACAGTTAAAAAACAGAATAATCTGGCAACTGAAAAGCACAGCTTTCTAATGCCAGTCTTTAATGGCAAAGGACATGAGAATGAATGAAATGTTGGCTTAATGTAACTTCTGTGTGAAAATTATTTATAAAAATTCACTCTATAGTCTACATTTACAGAAGATTTTGGTGCCTCACAGACCAGGTTTTAGGCTTCAAAATTTTTTAGCACAAAGTGGCCAGTTTTGTCCCAATACACATTCTAGTCCACACTGAAGGAGGACCACAAGCTGATTTTAGGGATATCACTGCCATCACCTTTTCCTGCCCCACATTATTGCCTTTTTCTGCTCCAGGCCCTGCACTACTGTGGTCCTGCCTTGTCTGCACACACAACCAGCCCAGGCTCCATGCTGCACCTCCTTTCTGGTCTCAGGGTGTTCCTCTGGCAAAGAGGGTAGAACTCTGTATTAATCTGGCCTTTCTCTGTGTTTGTCACTGGGACTGCACAAAAACATAATCCTGTACCTTACAGGCACTGACACACAGGAGATCAGAGATTGTAGGGCAGCAGCTGTCACAGCGCTTCCCTTCCCACTCATGACTTGAGAGCCAGCACAGGAGAGGTCCCAGAGCAGCAGAGTGACTTCTATGAACTGCTCTTGTCTCTAAGGGAAATAACTGGGTGAGGAGGAGTGGAATTGGCATTTCTAATGACAGAAAATGAAACCATCACTACTATTCAATCCTTATCAATATCTAATTTCGTTATAGTAAATACTTGGGGTGATTTTTCTATTAGGTGCACAGTAGAGAAATGTGTTGTGGTGAGGTTAACATATTGGCTTGTAAACAAATTTCAACATTGAATACTTCCACCAAAACTGCTTTGACAACTTACTTAGCAGGTGGTAGATGGAGACTAGAGGAGGATCTGTTTAAAAATAAATCCACTCTGAAATGAATTAGAAAGTGCAGATACAGCCTGTAAAAGCATCTATACTCACTTTATATCCTCTCCAACATCCCAGCCAGAAGTTTCCTGGTCTGTGTAACATATTCCTTATCTCTTCAGCTCCTCATTTTCCTTCACTGATATGTTGCAGTTTCTTCTTTGTGGTCTCTCAAATACAGCATTCAGCCTTCAAGACATGGGAGAACAGATTTACACAAGAGTATGAAGATATTTTTTCTTTTGTTCTCTCTTCTCTCTCTAATAACTTTTCACATTCCACTTTCTCTTTTAATGTGAGAAGACTATATTAGTGGTTCCTTTTTAGGTGCTGCAGCTGATACTGAGAGGAAAGAAATGGTATATGAGGGAAATTGCTGCAGGCAGATCAGTCAGGACTTGGAATTGTTGGGATGTATGAGCAGGGACTGAGAGCTCAGACATTGTAATGGCAGGCACAGGGTGAAGTCCAGATTGGAACAGAACTCATAAAAGCAAAATCTAACGAAGGAAGGATCACAACAGAAAGGGACAGTTACATTTTTGTACTTTCCAGTGAAGACAGAGAAAATAGCATGGGTTAGTCCCAGGCATAGAGTGAACAACTGATGCCTGGAGTCCATGAAGTCCTACTCTGCTGAATCCCTCTTTCCGTCACTGCTGGGCACCCCCTGGGCACCCTCTACATTTGTGCCAGATATCGTTGTGGGTTTATGACACAGACAAAAAAGCCTGACAAGAAACTAATGCTTGAACAGGGTCCCAGGATAGTTTTTAAAATTAGATTTCCAACAATAAAAGGATGAGGGTATAAATCTACAGGAAGTACTTACTGCAGACTTTTAATGAAAGTACAACACATCAAGTTCACTAGAGATAACTAGCTTCAGTGCTTGGGCTAGAAAGTCCATCATTCATCCAAGGAAGCACACTGCAGACAAATCTATTCATTCTCAGAATGGAAACATGCAGAAGACAATTTGGTGAAAGCTGTGTTTGAAAGGGTTTTGGACTGCTTTGGGCTGAGGGGAATTGGAAGAATTCTGTTATTTAGACAGATAATGGCAAGTTCCATTTGGGAGAGGTCATCTGTTTTTGTTTTGAACCCAGAATTCCTTGGCCTAATAGCTGCAATACATCCTATTTGCTGTAGAGCAGTTTGAGCAGATTGAGATAGTCTAAAAGTCAGGATGACTGCATCTTGAGTGTGAACATTAGACTTCCAAGTCTTTTTATTTTACCACTCTTTATTCTTGCTATTTCTTTAATTTCCACTAAACTTTTTCTTTAAAAAAAATTGTCTTCTCTAAGTGGCTTTAGTACAGTTTTTTTAACACTTAAGATGTTTACAGTCAGCCTGTACTAATGTAGAACATGCAAGGCAGGATGACAGGGAAGTTGTAATGATCAAGAAGAGACTACAGCTGGCATTAGCAAGGGGGTCAAAGATTAGAAACTCATTAACAGATGGTTATGAAGCTTCTCTTGAATGTGACATTCAAGCCCCAAATAGTGATATTTATTATCCTTATTTGATGTTGGAGAACAATCAATAACATTTGCTTATTGGTTATCTACCAACATTGAGAAGTTTCCATTCATAAGGGATAATGAATCACACACTGAAGAAGTCCCTCTCCCCCCTGAGTATAATTAAATATTGCACTAGCTGATCAATAACAACTAGATTTAGAGGAGGTATGGGGCACTATGCCATTAGCCTGATGACAGGAGCAGTTCAGATTTTTAAAATTTGTCTTTGAGAAAAGATAGAAAGATAGTCAAGATTTTCCAAAGCATAAATCTGCATACTTTTCTTAAAGACCTTTTTTAAACAGGGAATTGAGTCATTCGTCAGCATCCAAGTGGCTGAAATAATCGCTTTTTAACAAGAACTAAATGTCAACTCTTATTTTGAAATCCTTGCTCTGTTTGAACATAAATTAGGGAAAGAAAGAAAAAACTGACATTGTCAGTAAAAACAAAAATTAAATTTCACTTTGTGTGCCCAGGAGAGTCATCTTCAGCACAGAGGGGACTTGGACCTGCTACGAGCACTGCCAGCAGCGCCAGTGACACCCCAGAAAGGACATCTCAGTCTGGGCCATTTTTGTGTCCACAGGGCTGGAAATGGGGGCTTACTTTGCCCAGTGGAAATTGCCCACAAGGACCCCCTACATTCCTTGGTTTTCTGAATTATGAATAGCTTTGCTTTCCAGTGTAGACTGGGTCAGTAGCTTTTTTGATGACCAAATCAATTAGGAAGCCACGAGCATTATATCAAGAAAACACCAGCCGCTGCTGAATTGGTTTTTAAAAGTAAGCTTGAAAGTTTATTGATTTAACTTCCCATGTTAAGGTTTTTTCTCTTTTTTGAATCTCTGGTGTCCATTTTCACCCTCTTTGTGCCAGCAGCACAGTGCTTTGTAACTTCCTTTCCCAGAGAAACCCAAAAATTACTTTCTGCAAACTTCCTCAGGCTATATATATGTAGCTGAGTAAGATGACCCAAAAATTTTCTTATCTGAGGACTGTACGTTGCTCAATGAAGTAAGCAGGAGATTAATTTGGCTAGCAGAGAATAGTAAGATCCTGGAGGCAGTTATAAATCTTAATTTTTTTTTTTAACTTCATATTTGATTTAGAGCCTTATAAAAGTCTTTTGCTTTTAGAAATACAAGTATGCTCCTATACTGAGAACAGAAAAGCCATTTAGTGCACTGCGTTGTTCAGCTACAAATATTCATCAAAAGTATCATCTTCCTCTCTTCTTGCTTCTCATAGTCTACTGATAGACAAATGGTTTGTCCCTCCCCTCAAGTCTTATCTGCAGCCTCTGTGCACTACAGCCAAAAGATAAGATTTAGTATCGCAGTTGCATAGTAATTTAATAAGCAGACCTTGGAGAACAAGTGAAAAAAAAAAAAAAAAAAAGAAGAAAAATGCTAAAATATTGCTCAGAGAGAGAAACTGATGGAGCTGTTCACAAAAAAAAAATAAAACAATAAAAATAAAATCAGGCTGGGAGCCTTGAGGTGTGATACAGACAAGACAATAAGACAATGGAGCTTCTGAATGCTAACACAGCAGACTCCCCAGACAGCTTAGGATCACCCACTTAAGTAGTCCTTAACTTTTCACAGTTAAGGAAAGTGTTTTTGTGACCCATGGACTCCTCTGCCTATACCACTCTCTTTAAATTTGCCATTACTTCTGACAGTTTACCCAGTGGTGTAAATTAAAGACGATCCTTGGATGATGACTCCCTGGGATGATTTGATGTCACACCAAAGGAAGTCATCACTGCAGCTGGAACTCAACTGGACTGGAAATTATATGTATGGAGAGAAAGCTTTCTGTCCTCATCCCTACTGTGCACGGTTTTTGATCAAGAACATGTCCAAGATATTTAAACCAGTGTCCCCTCTCCAGTCCCATAATAAGAATAACCTTCCCATACATAAATGGATGGATTTAAGTAATTAAAATCTATATATACAATGACTTTCAGGCATATTTTTTTTTTTCTCTCATTCAGAACACAGTTCATTTGGACACACTAATTGATTCCTTAAAAGATGCAAGTGGTATTTTATTTGGAAAATATTAAAGTCAGAAATTTTTAGTAACAAATCCAACAAAAATGGAATTAAAATTTAATGTGTATAAATTGAATGTAATACATTGAGAGTTCTCTTTGTAAATAGCCTGTGTTTTTTGATTTACTGGGACTAGAGGATGAGATCATAAATTTTATATTTGCATTATGGTTTTCTTTCAAGATTTTTATGGTTCCTTTTGCTAGTTCCTTGCTTTCAGGGCATCTTCAGCACAACTGTGTGGGGAAAACAAAGGAATAAGTCTTATCGGTTATTTAAGCTGATATCTTGCACTACCACTGAAGAGATATTTTGATGATACAGTTTTCATTACTAAAATGCTATAGCATAATAAATTAATTCTATGTTGTGAGCTTATCTATTAGACACATTACTACAGAAAAATAAAAATGTTAATTATTCATTATCATCTCTCTGATTATTTGTTGTGGCTGATAATTACATTGAATGTACTTTATATCAGTAATAACCTTCTGTCTACATTTACAACATATCATATCTGGGGGGCTTGTCAAGCTTTTTCCCAAAGCCTTTTCTTTATTAAGACACAGACCTCATGAGTACATAACCTTTATGTTGAAGGCTGATTTTCCTCTTTCATATAAAGAACAAATATTATAGATTAATTAATCCAATGTGATTATAATTTAATCACCCTTCGTCTGCAGTCACAAGGGACTTGGTTATTATTCAGTGGCTCATTCATATTGTTATGCAGAATAAATCCTGTCATAAAAATATTTGTGTGTCACTTAATTCATACAAATAAGCAGGACTCAAAATCAGCAAACAAAACCCACCATTTTTCTTTCTTCTAAACAGAAGCTTTGTGTTCTCACAGGCTCTTACTTTCCACCTCTCAGCCATTTGCATCTGTTCACTGTCTTGCTGTAGAGCCTCCATTTCCAAGAAGAGCAATACACACTGTTCCCTTTCCAAACAATAATTAACTTCATTTTTTAAGAGGCTGACTCAAAATTGAAGTGTGGATCCTGTGCACACCTGACCAAATGCTGCTTGCCCCAGCCCATTTTAAAGCAATGACTTATGCATTCCACTCATGTCTGGCCTATTCCACTTGATTTTATTGTCAGAGAAATGATTACTTATTAATCTAACTTTTCTAACATTTGCTTTTATGCCATTTCCTTAAAGTGTAGCCCGGATCATATTCCTATCACCATGGAAATCCTCTTGGATTATTTCTATATCAAATTCTATGAGCTCTTTGAAGGCTGAATCCTCTCAACATTTATTTTAGAAGGACAGGGAAAAAAAAGAAGAAATTTCTTTTCATGAGACCTTTGAACAAAGTGCAATTTGAAAGTGTGAATGAAATTACTATTTAATAAAAAATGAATATTTGAGCTACTTGACCCTGGCACAATGTTGTTTCATCAAATTAATCAATTTTAAATTTTTACTGTACCTCAAAAAACTAAGGTAATAATTCACAAATGCATTAGATGGAAGCAAATTAGTAATACAAATCTTTCTCTTCTGTTGCATCTAAGAAGTCTGGAAAGAATCAAGTACTAAATAAATATTACCAGTTGAAATGAACTGATCA